TGTCTCCGTAGTAGAGAGCACGAACCCATATGGGTTGGTTGTTCTCGAGTTGACCACCACAAAAATAAAATTTCTGCAAGAGTATGCAAAATTTAGAGTGCCGTGGGCACCCTTCAGATACCCTGAAACAATAATAAAAACCAACCAATCTTTAAGTAGACAATATGAATTATTTCTGGGTATCCGAAGGGTGCCCACGACACTCTAAATTTTGCATACTCCTAGAGAAATTTTATTTTCGTGGTGGTCGACTTGAGAACAACCAACCCATATGGGTTCGTGCTCTCTAATACAAAGACAAAGCTGTATAGGCTTACTAACGCTCCATATATCTATCTAGCCACCTCCGGGGATGTGAGCACCTACATAGATGTGATGCAATACTTAATCAATCAGGTATAATTTTTTAACGAATCTCTCTAACGGTTCAATTATTCAATATTTATTTTACGTACCATTCTGTTTAATTACCCAATTTGATTTTACTTATAGCAAATCAATTTGGCTATTTTGGATGGGGTGACCATCACAGTGCAGTAGATTTTGTTGGATTTATCCAATATAAATCAACCTTTAAGTGGTCTACTACATGTAATATTGGAGAAATAATGTTAATTGTGATTCGATCTCTTAAAGATATTAATCCTATATCATGCGTCTTATATTGGAAATACGATTGATGGAATCCTTAATTGGCTATAATTATGATACTTAACTTAGAGGCTAAGAAAGTAAGTTTAGGTTTCCTTTATGGATGGAAATCCTAGCTTTTAGCCTATATATATAAACACCGGTCCCTATAAGCCCTAGAACACACAACATAATACTTCCCAGAGTAGTTGTATTTGGCTAGGAGTTTATAGAAGACATTGGTGTTGCCGTGCCCTTTTCTCCTTCCTTGCTCGAGTACCATGATTACAACTGGAATCAGGTTTGTCACTCATTCGTTTGTGTTTTAATTGTATAACCTTCTAAGGCTAACATGTGGTATCAGAGCCATTGGTTATATGATTAAAACCTATTAGCGTTTAGGTTGGACTTTATAATATTTTTATGAGCTGCGTTTTTAATCCATGTTATGATTGCATATACTTGGCAACACCACCATGTTGTTTCAATCGGTACAATTGATGATTGTAAATAGGTTATATAACCATTCGGTTTTAGTCAAGAATTTTAATAATCTTATGGCATGAATCTGGGAAACTTTATCAAGAATAGCAGCAAATCGTGGATCAATCCTATAATAGTGGCATGCCGCATGCGGAGAAGCATATATATAAAAATCGTGTTGAAGTATAAAATTAAAATAATGGTGATGATCCAAATATGGAACAAGCTTCAAATCCCAACAGTTTTTAAACTATACCTATTTTATTTTAGCTAATATGGTTTAGTTGATAGCTTTTTGATCAGGCATCTTTATTGCATAAAATATGTTTTGGTCGAACCACTAAAGTCTGGAGGTTTGCTAGTATTTTGATCAAGCAAGCACATGTAATTTTTACTTTGAGCCAATTTGATTAGTCAAATTTGATTACCACCAATAGTTCTGATAAGGGGATGTTAAAGAAAACTGATTAGTTAGTTCATTGTATTAACTATGACTAGAAACCATGGCATATTTGAGATTTTCTATTTTAAAGCTGATGTTTTTGGTTGGAATGTTTAACCATGTACTACGGATGTCTTTGTCAATTTTGTAAGCATATGTAAATACACATTTACACTAGAAAAGTGATGCGGCCTCTCCATTTAGCAAGCCGACCTCTGCCAAAGCAGAGTATTGTGTTTCATCGACTCAATTCGGATTTTGGGTTTTTAGTGTAATCTTTTCCTTTGGTGTTAATTGCTGACAAGATTTTGTGGTGGATTTAAAAGGTGATTATTTGGTTCCTGCATAACTTACCTATGCCGTTACATCTCCTTATTATTTGGAATAATATGTTTTTAGTTCCTTGTTTTGGTGGCATCGAAGAGTTTTCGTACTAGCATAGCCAACTGATTATTCAGAACTCAATTTTGACTGCAACCTAATTCTTAGAATTAAGAAAGAGGCGTAACTGTTCAAATATTGCTTGATATCTTTCGGAATGTAGGTGACGGAATTGTTCACTTTTAGATGTCTCAACGCTATTATTGGTATACGAGTTGTGCCTATATATATGATTGTGGTAACATATATTACAGTTGTGTTGCTTATGGTCATGGTGATATTAACTCGTACGGAATTTGCATGACTAATCAATTAGTATTGTCCACAGGTTTGCTCTTTCTTTTCGGTAGTCATTTAATTATACCTGACTAGTTAACTATGAAAATTGTTGAATGATTTATGGATTGACGGAGAATGACAGAAAGCATTTAGTGGCAAGAACAAGGACATTGTACAAATGAATGAGGTTTGTAGTAATTATGTGACAATGCTCATTTGTATTTTTATCTATTCTTCTATGGGAATTTTGGTTGGTCATGTGATTATATATATGTTTACAAAGAAGTGGTGAACATATGAAGGCATGAGGTATGTATTTCATTCAAAGCATGTGACTTAATTGATAAGCATGAATTTTCAAACATGTATTATTGTTTATGGTTTTTCTTATGCCTAAAGAATTTAAACAATGTTTTGATCAGTCAATTGTTTTATGCCATAAGGGGAGAAGAAAAGAAATTATTCAAGGCTAATGTATGGCATGTATTGGAGATGTTTCTTTTGGAAGAAAAGAATTTTGGTTGTTCTTTATTAATTTGGTATTTACAAGGCTAATGCACGTTTTTTATGCTAATGTTTTAGGAGTCTTGTACTATGGAAAGAAACATATAAAAGGAAAGGAACTCAGTTGACTTAAGAAAACATTTGAGCGATTTAGCTTTTAAATTAAAGGAATGTCTTGTTCTCTCACATTACATAAAGTATTTCTAATTTAAGTAATTGCTCCATAATGATAAGTATTGACATTCTTGTGGTGGAATAAAACTTGCTCTATATGTGATTAATCTTCTTCAAGTATGTCGTCAGTTTTTTTGAGATATTTAATGTCAAAGGGAGTCATGAAGGAATTAGTGCCATTTGTTGGCAAGAATTGAAGCTCGAATCAGGTTATAATAATTTTGTCACTAACAGTTAATTAATCCATGTGACTTCTTGTATTGTTTCAGGGCAGAGTTGATCAATGTCTTGTCAACTAAGCAAGCCATGGCGGCTTAGTTGATGCTGGGACTATGATTTTTGAGTTACTTCAATCAACATTGCATCTTAATTAGAATAAAAGCGATAATCTTAGCCTTCAAGTGTGGATTATTTCTTTGCATCTTAATTAGAATAAAAGCGATAATCTTAGCCCGCAAGTGTGGATTATTTCTTTGAAACTCAAATTGCACCAATTTGCCCTCCAAAGCTTTATTTGGTATTATTTTCTCACATTTTGTTAATTTTGTTAAAAAATCGGTTAAATAGGTTTTTATTTTTTGTTGAAAGGGTTAAGACCCACTTATTTTAATTGTGATTGCACCTTTGGGTAAGAGGTGCGGCGGTGATATAGGGAAAGAAGGAAGAGTTGGGAATTTATGCATTTTTCTAGTTTAGAAATATCAAAAATAATTTATAGAGAATTAAAAAAATAGGTTATTATGATTTCAAATAAGCCAACATGGCAACTGCAACAGAAATAAGTGGGCCTCAGCCATGCATATCAGCGATTCGATGAACTTCTTAACAGAATTGACGGAACGTGAGTAAGCCATACAAAAATTGAGTTTCATGAGGTAAAATATTGCAATTGGAGTTTCATAAGATAAAGTGGGATTAAAATGAAGTTCTAAATTACACAAGAAAGAGGATAATGCAAGGAAGATTAAAATTTAAAACTAAATTTTACAAACTAAATGATATGGTTGTTGATGATTGGATTGTTAAGTATAAATTAATGTGGTTATTTCCTATTGGTGACATATTATTTAGTTTGCAAGTTTAATTTAAAATTTTAGTCTCTCTAGCATTAGCTCAAGAAAAAATAAGAGTGAAAGTTTTGGAAAAAAATAAATATGTCAATCATAATAATTTGATATCGAATGTATCATTTATTAGCATAAAAGCTTATATATATTAATGAACAATATTATTAGACTACATTGTAGTTATGCAAAAACATGCCTAAAAAATTTCTATCTCTAGAATTTTCTCTATGACTTCCCTTCTTCAATCTTTCCTGTTTTTCTTCCTTTTCTCTTACTTGTTTTCGGCTTTCCTCCTTAATTTATAAGCTTGCCTCAATCTTCCTGAGTTTGTCTCAGATCTGGGCTTTTATGCTCTTTTCTTCCTTCGTTGCTTCTCTTTGTCAATTGTTCATCACCAACCTTCACGACTCGATCTATTGCGTCTCCCATCGGGCGCACACTTTAGTGTTAGGTGGTCGTTAAAATATTGCTTTTAGCACTATTTAGTAGGATTATGGGAACGATTTTGCGCGGGTGACTTGCTCATCCCCATTTTCTGTTCATCCAGCTTGTTCGTGAGTTCTTCCTCTTGGCAGTGGTGGTGGATCGACGATGGCGGCTCTGCTGCTGTGGTGCAGTCAGCTGTTTTCCAGATCTAAAGTTTTTGTTATTATGAGCTTGCTCTTTTTGGATTTTTATATTGTATTTCCGTTTCGACTATGCTTGGATTGGGACTGCCTTTAAATTTTCTAGATCATGTAATAGTGTTTAGGGTAAAGTACAAAAAACTACTTCAACTATTGGTGCCACGACACTTTCATATCTCATCTTTTAAAATTGACAATGTCATACCTCATCTTACGAATTTGTGCCAATGTCAGACTTTCGTCAGTTTTTCTGTAAATTTCTCTATTAAATGCTAACGTGGCCCAACACGTGTCTCACTCACTAATCCAATTGGATTAAAAAATAATAAAATATATTTTTAATAATTAAATATTCAAAAATTAAAAAAAAAAAATTATATACATATATATATATATTAAATCTCTCTCTCCTCTCTCCCCCTTTTCTTGCCTCTTTCTCCTCTGCAACCCAAAACCCTTTCCCACTCGTCCTCCACCACCCTCTCTCTCCTCTCTCTCTCTTTCCCCCCTTTCTCTCCTCTCTCTCTTTGCATCCTAGAAGACCCAGACCCCGGAGGAACAAAACCCACCTTCCCATTTCAGCAATTGTTGCCGCAATTCGAAAGCCCCAAAACGAAGAACCCAATATTGCTCGACTACTTTGCCTCCCTCACTCCACCACCCTCGATCTAGAGATTGCAACGACGCTGTTCCACGACATCATCTTCCTCGACTACTCCGCCTCCCTCACTCTGCCACCCTCGATCAGCACCTGGACGCCCAAAACGACGACGTCGACCTGAACTTGGACTAGGAACTGGTCTAATTTGCGACGAAGTCCGAGTTTGTGGGGTAGTTCGGGGAGGGGGGACACAGGTCACTGGGCAAGAGTTTGGGGGGACAGGTCAATGGGCAAGAGTTTGGCGGATGAAAAAACTCAGGTGGGTTTGGGCGGTTCTGGGCACGGTGAAAGAGAGAAGTGGGGAGGAAGGAGACTGTGATGGAGAGGCGAGGGAGATGGGAGAGAAAGGGTGGTGGAGGAACCAGACCCTGTCATCATTTTCGTCCCCTTTTCCCTTTACCTGCAACCCAGAAACAAAAATAAAAAAACAAAAAACAAAATGAACAAAAAAATTCATACCCAGTTTCGGCCCAAGAAGAAGAAGACGAAGAAGAAGAAGGAGAGAGAAGAAGAACGAAAAAAAAAAAAGTGACAAATCCAGTTTCGGTGCAGGAGAAGAAGAAGAAGATGAAGAAGAAGGAGGAGAGAGAAAAACAAAAAAATTGAAATTGCTGCGGGTGAAGGAAAAGGGATGCCGCACCCCTTGGAATTTTTTTTTGTTTTTTATTCTTAATTTTTTAATATTTAATTATTAAAAATATATTTAATTATTTTTTAATCCAACTGAATTAGTGAGGGGTTCCGTTTCTTGCCACGTCAACACTTAACAGAAAAACTAACAGAAAAATTGACGGAGATATGACATTGTCACAAATTCGTAAGATGCGTTATGATATTATCAATTTTAAAAGATGATGTATGAAACTATCGTGATTCCAATAATTAAGATAATTTTTGTACTTTACCTTAGTTTTTATATTTAATGAAAATTTCTAGTTTGACTAAAAAAAGAAAAAGTTATGCGTGTCACATGTGAAAAGAGTTTAAGACAGAAGAGCAGCAATGCAAAATGAGCTGACGAGAAGTACAAAAAGCAATAAATTGCTCCAGGGTCTCGTCTCCTCATGACATGACCTATACCATAGCGAACCAGAAAAAGTTATTTGGTGAACTCTTCTTTTGTTTTGTTCTTTTATTTTTTATTACCGAAGTTCTTGTGAACTCTTTCTAAGAACCGGGCGCAGCAGCTAGAGCAGGTACACTCTTGAATCTTTGACGACCAGTTGGTTGAAATGGCTAGAAAGCCAAAGAAACCATCTTTTATCAAGATCCTCGCCGGTGACACCTCTCAGAGTCTGGTAACATCCACATCCTCCTCTTCCTTAACTTCCTTTATACTCTTCAAATGGCTAGAAGGCCATAGAAACCATGTTTCATCGATATATTTTCCATCAGGATTATGGTTCATGTGTGAGTCCGCTTATTTTATAGCAGAATTCTTAGGTTTTGATGTTCTTTTTATAGTTTTGAAATTTGCTTTGATCAATTTATTCTGAATGTTTGCAAAACCGAATACAGTCATGTAGCCGACTATACTTAATGGATAAAGTTTTTTTTGTTGTTTGCCTATCCTACTTAGTGAGGTAAGAATTTGTTGTTGTTTCCAACACCGGAGCACTATTCCTTTTGTATTAGTGTTAATCACCATTTTATACAATTTAAATTCTGGTTACTGCGAATTTTTTCTTGCTTGATCTCGCATAGTCTAACTAGCCATTGACATTTCTTGCTTGGTTTTATGGCTTTTAGAATCTATATGACATGGTCTTTTGGATTTTAAAGAAATTACTAAAATTTTGTAGCGTGTACCGCCTGCGTTTATTACGAAGAACTTCAATGGACGATCACTTTGCAAATGTGATCTTAAAGGCCCGACTGGAATTCGAAGGACTGTGGAATTGGAAGAGAGGGAGAATGGCTTGTTCTTTCATGATGGTTGGCAGGGTTTTGTGAAGGACCATCTTTTAAAAGCTGGGGATTTTTTGGTTTTTAGTTATGACGGCGTATCGAAGTTTAATGTCAAAATCTATGATAGAAGTGCATGCGAGAAAGATGTCGAATTAGCCAAGATGAATGAAGGAAATCAAGCTAGAAGAAAAGTTGAAGTTGTCGACATTGACACTGAAAACGTAAAAGCTGAAGTTGTTGACATTGACACTGTAAACTGCAACCAAGATCGTGAAAAGCAAATGATATTTTCTAGCCGGAGTTGTAAGTTTTACTCTATTTTACTTCTCTGCATCTAGGAAAGATTTGTATTAGTGATCTCTAACATTATTTTTTGTCACTCCTTTCGTCCTAAATTGTGTCTCAAATTTGGATTGTATAGGCGATCATCTCAAATCTCGAAAGAGACCAGTAAGTAATTATGTTGAAGATACATCAACAGCATCCATCCTGTTGGAAACAGAGAATCCATGTTTTCTGCACTTCTTAAACCATCGGAATCGTCTATATAATGTGGTGAGTACCTCGACACCTATTTCCGAAGTCAATTTATGTTTCTGAAAATTTTCCACGATTGTGATTGGAAAACAGTGATAGAGATCCTTGGAATACCTTTCAGTGACTCAAATTTATGCACTCTTGAGTAAGCATTTGCCTTAAATATTATCCATGAAGATGAAATATAGTAGTTAAGCTGCATTGTGGAAGTTTATTGGAAAATCATATTCAAAAATATTTCCTCAAAATTCAACTTCTCAGGGGTGCACTGTATTATTAGTTTGAGGCGTGAGCACTAGGATTGTGAATCGTTTACATGAAAAATCCTCTAGCACGAATATGTTTTTAGTTTTTAGTTTCGTGGTCAAGTTTCAAACAAATTAATCCATAGATGTTCCAAATTGCAGAGGATTCCAAAGCAACTAGCCTTCGATGAAGGCCTTATGGACAAGGATTCCGTAACACTTCAAGATCCAGATGGAAGATCATGGTTTGTTCGACTCAGAACCCTTTACGCTGGTCGTTCCGATTATTTGAATCTGTCAACAGGTTGGAGAGAATGCGGTAAAGCGAACCAAATTTCACTTGGGGACACCATAGTTTTTGAGTTTGTGAAGCAAAGTGTGATCCAAGTTCATATTTTCAGAAAAGGGGAAGTGAGAGGTAATGTGTGTCGTCTGGTACTTGTTGCCCCTTATGGTAAAAAGAAAAGATAATTGACCCAAAATTCAACTTCAGAAATTACCATGGTTTTTTTTTTTAGAAGAAATGTCGTGACTGCAATGTAAGCTTAGGTATTTTGCACCATTTTTGGTTAAATGGATGCTGTTGCTTAAATTAGTTCCCCAGTTACACTTCTGTGTCTCTTCATTGCCTTCTATTCTGTTCATTGCCTGTGAAATATTTTGGTCCGGTAAGACCATCTCCAACCAAAGGGTCCAAAGGGCCAGAGGGTCGAAAATAGCCCGAAAACCGTCTCCAATCGAGGGTTAGGTCAGAGGGCTGTGGAATCTGAGAGGGTCCCACGGAATTGGAGAGGGCTAGAGGGCTGGCCAGAAAATAGAGTATTCCTGTCGGTTATAACCGACAGGAATATATTTATATTAAAAATTAAATGTATTCATGTCAGTTATAATCAACGGGATTGCTTTAAAAAAAAAAATTTGAATACAATGGCTAGTCAGCTAGCCGTTGTATTCAATTTTTTTTTTTTGGACCAATTTTTTTTAAATTCTTAAAAATTCTAATTTCATTAAATTCAAGTTCTAATTTTTTTTGGTTTTTTGGACCAATTATCGTTGTAGTTTTTAAATTTAAATAATAAATTATGTTTGACCCTATGACCCTTTGGTTCTCAGTTGGAGACGATTTTTCATGACAGGGCTAAAACGAGCCTTATGGCTCTCGGTTGAAGACAGAGGTAAATATGATCATGTACTGTTTATTAAAATATTAATATCTTGGAGGACTAAAGGACTCGGTTGGAGATGGCCTAAGATGCACGGTTTCAAAAACATTCATTAAATTAGCCCTCCAGCGCCACTATAGGCTTATCCTATTTTTACCTCCCTTAACACATGCACGTAAAATTTGTTAGTTAATAGTGGTATCAGTTTTTGAGAAATGCTAAAAGACTCTCCATCACCTTATTTTCTTAATACAATTTTTGTACTAATATTATAATATATCATGTAAAAAACATGAAATAATATAGAGTTCATGGGAAGTTTTATTTTGTGAATTTCTTTAATGTTTCTCTTTGTTTCTACTTGTTTGAAAAGATTACACGGACAACGAGGATAATCATACGTATAATTTTTAATGAGAAGATGTGACCAATCATGTTGTAGACCTACGTAGTAAATATTAGAAGTAAAATTTGAGGCTTTTTTTGTTTGGTAGAAAAGGAAAAACTATAGTAAAGGGAAAAACCTCCACGGCAGCCTGTTTGAACACAATTAAATAGAAAGGTTGGACGAGCAGTCGTTGGAATGGTTCTATCCCAAACATGAAAATCATTAACTGAGAGATCAACACTTGTGATATCATCAGTAAAAAATCTAGTCTTTCTAAAAACATGCTTCTAGCTAATGTCCTCGAAGAAACCCGCCAATCGACGAATATCATTAAGAATCATCCTCAGTCTCCAGGAAGCATTAAAGACCTCGCGGATAGACTCAATAACTAATTGGGATTTTTTGAAATAGGTTCAAAGTAATTAAAAATTGGACCTATCTCAAAAGTCAAAAGTCACTAAAAATTGGACCTATTTCAAAAGGTAGTTTATAAAATTGGACCTATTTCAAATTTTCCCTGACTAATTTAGAGTCATCTTTCACAATGATCCGCTTGAAACTTCTAAGAGTTACTCAAACTCTAGCAAAAGTAGGTTCAAACTGCAACTTAAATCTAAGCTAAAAATTACATGTGTCAGCAAGTAAGTCCCCCATTGGTAAAAGAGTGTCAAGGCATCGACCAAGAATCGACAACAACCTTTGGGAACATGCTAGTAAGGAGTTCGAAAATGAACAATTAAGTCTTAGCGTAGGGATATAATGAATTTTAGCAATAATTAAATATTGTGTAAATTTGTATGAAACGTTGGAGTAGGATTCTCTCTTCTTTTTTTGTTCTCCCATTCTCTCTTTCTATTTGAACGGTCATAGTTAAATCATATTAATATCTTATATTAATTTTTTATAATAAAAAAATGTAAAATAAGACAATGTGAAAGGAGAAGATGAAAGGACATGGAAAGAAGAGGGAGTGAGAGTTATCATAGCAACGGAACACGATAATTTATGTTTTCTAAGCTACTCAAAATAATTCATGTTTCCCAACTCGGTTTTACACATGGCAGAAGAAGCAAAACATAAAAACAATAAAGGATGGAAGAAAAACAAATCATGGAAGCCACTCCTCCTTTGTCAAAAGAGAATAGCAGTAGATGAAAATTTTAAATTAAATTTGTAAACTAAATAATATGTCATCAAGAAATAAATATATTATTTAACACTTAAATAAGAATAATGTTAAAAAGATCAAATTTTCAAACCAAAATTTTAAATCAAATGATATGTCACCAATAAGAAATAAGCAAGTTAATAATTCAATTATCAACAACTATATCATTTTGTTGATTTGATTTAAAAATTTGATCTCGCAAGCATTACCCTTTTTCAAACTAACATAACAACATACAATAATAATTTTTAGAATTAATCTCAGTTTACGGCTTTAAACTTTTTTGATTTTCAATATTTGATACATCAAATTTTTTTTTCATCCAAATTTGGTTGTTAAGTTTTCCATCCAAACTTGTGTTAACTGATGATATAAAGCTCACGTGAACACTGACTAAACGTCACATGTCAATATGGGTTTACGTGAATATTAAAAAAATTCAAAAATTCAAAATTTAAAAATTTAAAAATTTAGATTTTTTCTTTTAAGGAAAAAAAAAAAAAAAACCCCAAACCTTACCGACTTCTTCTTCCTCGGCCACACACACCCACACTCAACCTTCAGATACTCACCCCTCTCAGACCATCCCAATTCCGATTCCTCAACCCACCAAAACGCAGCGTTTCTTTTCGATGTGTTCTTCGTTTCCAATTCGACCCAATTAAATTCAATTAAATTAATCACCTAAAAATTTGGGGATCTGTGATGATAGCAGTCACCTTCTTCTACCTTGGAAGCACTGGTCCGATGGGTCACAGTAGCTCCTCTTCTTCACCACCACCACGCGTCAAGCATGCTCCGCCGTCTCCGCCTCGTCCAATCTCGACAAGCCTTTCAACCTCTCCGCCCTCATAAACGAAACCCTAGCTCCACCTCTACTGCTTCCGCCTCCTCCTTCTTTGCCGCCGCCTGATGTGGTCCAGAGGTTCTGCATTGTAGACGAGAACGACAGCATGTGTGACGAGTTTGAGGTCGGGGATTTCGATCCCGATGAGGTGTTGGGTAATTGGGGCAGCCAGAATGGGACTGTGGCGGAAAGTGAGCCGAGCAGGTCGGCCTCCTCGATCCCTGAAGAATCAAAACGCCGAGTTTTGTGGTTTAGGAATCGAAATAGGGATGATCTGAGAGGAAGAGTGAGGATGAGTGTGGGTATGTATGGCCGATGAAGAAGACAGTCTCGGATGGAGGTGTAAAATTTTTTGGGTATTTTTTTTTTTTTTCGGGGAATCTTAATAAAAATTCATGTGCTTCCTATATTGACACGGAGCGTCTGATGACTGTCTATATAAGCACTATGTCAAAATTATGATCTTCGGTATCATTATGGGATGTAAAAAAATGATGTATCAAATGTTGACTTCAAATAGTAAATTAAGATTAATCCTAGTTTTTAAGTGCATGTTATACACATGGCAGCAGAAGAGTAAGAAAAGGTGAAGCATCATTTCTCCAATTTCTCCTGCCTGGAAATTAAGTACCAGAAAAATTGTTTCAGTAATCTCATTGCCACAGATAGGAGAGAAGAAGGTTCAAATGGCGGGAAAATCTTCGCCAAAGAAACCATCATTTTTCAAGGTCCTACTTGATGACTTCTCTCAGCATCTGGTAAAACATGCATGCGTCTTATCCTTTTATTTTCACTTTTCTAAATCAATTCCTACATTAATTAATTCATAATTGAATCCATGATTGCCTCTTTAAAGAAAATAAAATTATGTGGAGGATTTACTTGGATAAGATCTTTCTGTTTGGTTTTAAGTTTGATTAGTACATTAGAATCTGAGTGATGCCCGAAAGATTGCAGTTGGGCATGTACATGTTTGAGCCCATTTCTTTTTAGTGTGAGGATGTTGAAAAGTGTCCCAGGTTAGAAATTTGAGAAAACTTGCATAGGCTCACAAGGAGTTAAAGTTATTCCGCCATTGGCAACGGCTTTAAAGTTAAAATCTCAACTTTCTTCGTGACATCAAAACATATGTAGCTCAACATTGGGCACATGCGCTAGACGCGTAGTTGTGTTGTTCCTATGTTTTGCTTTAGCATTGCCAATTGGAGTTTGGGATAGACGGTCTGACTAAGGGCTGGTTTGGTATTACTGTGCTTTGAAAAAAAAACTACTTCTGCTGTGCTGTAAGAATAAGCAACTGTGAAATAAAGCAGCAGAGTGCTTGGTAAACTTTTTTGTAAAAGTGCTTTTGAAAAAAAAAAAAACAGTATTATAGTGTTTGGTAAACTTTTATGTAAAACAGATGTGAAAAAAAAACCGGTTTTTCAAAACTGGATTTTGCATCTTCTTGTTTTTGGCTTTTTTTCACCCAAAATTGTGAAAAAAAAGCTGAAACTAAATGTTTACCAAACACAAAAATAGCTCCCAGCTTTTTTTGATACCAACTTTTTTCAGAATCACCTCAGTACCAAACCAGGCCTTAACTATGACTGAGGAATCGTAGAACAAAGAGGCGTTTTAACATGACAATTTCCCCTTGCTCAATCAGCTGCCAATGCCCGGTGCAATTACTTAATATGGCTGCTATTTGATTGGAACAGTTGAATTTGTTCCAAGCTTAATTATTATTTTCCATAGGTTAATGATGTGTGAAATATTTTTGGCTACGCTCTTCTGTTGGTCCCATAGGATATGATGTGAGATTTTCTCGATTTTCTTGCTTTGCATGTAACTCAATATCTTAGTAGATAAGGCGTTGATTTTCTACTCATGCATCCCGAGTTTAAAAGTCTATCATCCCCTTAATTATTGTAATAATTTTGAACCAGTCCCCTTCCCTTAATAATAATAAAATTCTAAGAAGCAATATATATTTTTCATATACATGGTTTTCTAAGAGCTATATATTTTTGTAGCGTATACCACATGCATTTATCGAGAACTTCAGTGGACAATCACTTCACAAATGTGCTCTTAGAGGCTCTAGTGGACAATGGTGGGCTATGAAACCGGAAGAGAGAGAGAATGGTCTATTCTTCCATGGCGGTTGGCAAGGTTTTGTGAAGGATCATTCTTTAGAAATCGGAAATTTTTTGGTTTTCGATTATGATGGTGACTCAAAGTTTGAAGTCACAATCTATGATAGAAGCGCAAGCGAGAAAGATGTAGAACTAGCCAGGAGGAGAAGTGGCAATTCTGTTTCCTCAATGAACAAAGGAAGTCGTGCCAGAGTGAAAGATGAAATTCTTGACCTTGATCAAACTAAAATCTACAACGAAGATACAGAAAACAAAACTAACATTGCGGACAAAAGAAGTTGTAAGTTGAACTCTTGATTTACTTTCTCACAGCTATGAAAGTTTTGTGTGTGGCAAGGAAGGGTTCACGAAAGGAACAATCGTTTTTCAAGGTCCTACTTGGTGACTTCCCTAAGCATCTGGTAAAATCTTGCCTTCTTTTTCTTTTTGAACTTTTCAAGATCAAATTTTTATAGTCGCGCTTGCAAGTTTTCATTTTTTTTTTTTTTTTTAAGTGCGTTTTCAAGGTTAATCAGGAATTTGAGTTAATATTAAAATACCCTTTTCATGGTTTCTTGTTTGGATCTACTTCTGTTTATATTTTAGTGATTGTGTCGATCAATAATGGAGAAATTAACACGTGCATATCCATTATATCTGGGATCTGTGTGGACTTCTTTCTCTAAGGACATGATTTGTGATTGCGACTAGATCGGATTAGGATTAGACTGCATTGGATTGGACTGAGTTGTATTAGAGATGATAACATTAATCCAATGCTGTGTTTGGTACTGCACAGGATTGTGTGCCAATGCCAAATTATGGGTGAAGAAATCACGGGAAGTCAGAACAAGAAAATTTTGCCACATTATGTCACCCTCTCTGCTCAGGATTAGTCAATACACAATGATAGAATTACTTGGAAGGTTTACAATGAATGGTTTCCATGTATTTAATTATGTTCTTTGTATTAGTGTCAAATAGTATGATGTTATCCAGTTTGAATTTTGTTTATTACTGATGCTAAGCTTGCTTAGTTTTATGCATATATAGTATGGTCTTTTAAGAAGCCGTCGAATTTTTCAGCATATACCGCATGCGTTTCTCAAAAACTTAAGTGGACAATCACTTGGCAAATGCGCTCTTAAAGGCCCTGGTGGAAAAAGGTGGATTGTGGGACTGGAAGAGCGAGAGAACGGCTTGTTCTTCTATGCGGCGGGTTGGCAGGATTTTGTGAAGGATCATCTTCTGCAAGTTGGGGAATTTCTGGTGTTCCATTACCATGGTGAATCAAAATTTATATGATAAAAGTGCCTGTGAGAAGGATGTAGAGGAAGCCGAGGGGAGGAGTAGCAGTCCAGTTACCTAGGAAAATAAAGGAAATCAAGCCAGAGTAAAAGAGGAAATTGTCGAATCCGAAACTGAAAACTACGATGCAGACTGCGAAAATAAAGGGACCATTGCTAGCAGAAGTGGTAAGTTGTAGATTTGTATGTAAATTTTCTATAATGGCTTTCCTCGCCCTTTTTCGTAATCCTGGTTCAATTTGGTGCTGTATAGAGAATGCCATGCCTGGAAAGAGACCTTCAACTGGTTATGTAAAAGAAACATCAACCAGATGCTTCACATTCACATTCAAATTGGAGAATCCATGTTTTATGGAAACTCTGAAGAAGTATCAAGAATACTGTGTGGTGAGTACTCTGTCGCTGATTCTTAAGCCATTTTTTGTTTTGTGAAAACCTTTTCTTGTTGTTTTGGAAAAGAGTAATAGATATAATTTTTCGGGAAACATTTTCAAGAAAATTTCTTTGAAAGTTCCACCACTTGTTAGGGGAGTGCACTAAGTTGAGTATTAGACTTCGGTATGAGGTTAGTGAATCTGTTTCTATGTTTAACTTAATTTGGATTAGTTTCCAAGCAATTTATATCGTTCAGCACCTGTCATGATCAGGACAAATGGACTCTCCTTCGATATCAATCATGTTTGAAATTGCAGATAATTCCGAAGAAACTAGCCATGTCTGAATGAGCACAGGCACTGTAATGCTTCGAAATGAATCCGGAAGATCATGCTGTGCTAAAGTTATACTCCGTCCCAAGTCATCTTTCCACCGCATGGAATTGACAACAGGTTGGGCAGAATTTAGTAACACGAACCAGATTTCAGATGGGGACACTGTAAATTTTGAGTTTGTCAAGCAAACCGTAATTCAGATTCATGTTTTCAGAGCAGTGAGAGGCAAGAGATGTGCTGTGGTACTAGGTGCCCCCAATGTGAAAAACGAAAGCCAGTTAAAAATATCTTGACTGCAATATTCACTTTTGCATTCTGCGCAAACGGCGATCTTCTTGTATTTTGTTCCCCAGCCTCCGGCAGCCAGTCTTCTTTTTCTGGGAGTTTTGTGGTAACTTTCTGTTTCTATGAGGCAGAACTTGAACTGAGAGAGATGATTGAGTAGAGTTTGTGCACGTGTAAATTTTAGCCATTCATCCAACGCTGGGACTAAATTCAAATGCCATTATATTTTGTTGATTATATTATATGCCACGTCTCATCACAGAAAAACCGGCTTCAAAGTTCGCTTCTTTTACACATGCTGAATAACAATCCCATGATGGTTCAGACTCAACTTTGTTTTGTTGTAAAAAACTTGAGAGCTTTTATTTGAACTAAAAGTCTGACGTGGTCTTAACAAATATGTGGGGTGAACTCTGATAACAAACTTGAGACTTTTGCAAGTGTAGTAAAGGCAATGCATCCTAAAAGACTTTACCACATGAGCTTAAATTTTAATTTTTTTTACCACATAAACTATCTTCTAACTACCTTATTCTCATAGGAACTAATAATCCAATTAGTTCTATGTATTATATCATGAGAATGAGAAAGAGTGAGAAAATTGAGTTGTTCAGAAGCAGCAAAGGACTCGATCAAAAGAGAAGAAGAGTTGAAGAAGACTAGCAAACTAGCCCAGCAATTTCACATTACTGTTTATCCTTTAAATAGAAAATCAAGAAATAATTCATGCAATTATATATCAAATAATGCATGCACATGAATAACCAATGTTAAATGAACACAACATAATGAATTAGAAAACCCTGGAAATACGATTGAAGCAAATGTTAGACACTCTGTCCTTAAGACAAGTTTACGCCGCATTACGATGCTCATGGTTGATCAGCGTTTGTCTCCCAAGATACAATGGCCACATCCTTATAATAGTAGCACTCTCAATCACAAGGCTCCAATGAATCATGATTGTATTGAATACTCTCTCATATAGACTCAGTGGGATAGTACAAAACTCTCTAAAAATAGTACTCTACGTGTATGGATATGTGAATGTAGAAGGTATTCAATGATTATAGGGGGCTTCCTATTTATAGAATTTGGAATACCTCTTTTTAAAATATGTGACTATTCATGAAGAGTTAAAAGTTGCAACTCTTATATAGTAATAATATTAACTTTTCCAACATTCCCCTGCATGAATGGCAATTGACTCAACACTACATAATTGACAATGTAGACATTAGAGAGAGAATTCAATAGGAAAAGTACGGTATCGGGATAGGTAGCTTTTGGTTTTGAACCTTCCGTAGTGAATTATTATCGGATTTACTTGGATAATCAATGAACACGATGTCTTCAACTGCTCATCCGTTTGTGTAAACCAAGACTCTAATAATCACACAATACCTTCCCAGACACCCCGTGGTTGATCAGTTGTGTTCACTTCAGCAAATTAGAAGTGGTGCCTTTTGGTAGAAAGATGTGTCTATTCAAATGAAGAGTTTCAACTTTTGACTCTTCAAGAATATATAGTCACATGCTTTCCACAGAGATATATCAAATTCTATAAATAGGGATGCCCCCTATAATCATTGGATGACTTCTACATTCACATATTCATACACATATTGTACTATTGTTAGAAAGTTTTGTAGTGTCTCACGAGTCCATATGAGAGAATATTCAACACAATCGTGGTTCATTGGAGTCTTGTGATTTGTAGTGCTACTATTACAAGGACGTGGTCCTTGTATTATGGGAGACAAGTGCCGATCAATCATTAGCACTGTAGTGAAGCATAAACTTGTCTTAAGGACAAAGTGTTTATTGCCTCGACTGTATTTCTAGGTTTTTCTTATCCATTATGTCATATTCATTTAACATTAGTTACTCATATGCATGCATTTCTTCCTAATGTTAGTGTTCAAAGCAAGATACAGTTGGAGACATTTTTGCAAATGTAAATAGACAAAAAAAAAATTGACAAATATTTTCAAAGAAAAGGAAATCTTAACGTATATATCAAAGCATTTTTAATCATCTTCAACAACCACAATATCATTAGTGGCTACACTCTTTAAAACGAATTTGGTTTAGAAGTAAAAAAAGCAATCCAAAGGAAGATATGAAGATGGCAAAAAAAATATATAGGAAACTCCACAATCATCGAATTCTTATGTCTAAACTCTAAAAAAACTAAAATCAAACAAAAAAAAAAACTTGCATTAATCGATTCATACTTTAGTTGGATGGTTCAACCCTTCAAAATCAGCACCCATCGGTAAAAACGAGGTTGTTTTTCTCTATGATAGCTCTTAGGGGTTTAGTCAGATAAACGTAGGATAAACATTGCGTGATGGTAGAGTTTGATTATTGAGTGTGAGTTTATTTACAAATTTTAATTTTATTATAAATTTCATCTTATACTTCATGTTAATTATGCAATAAAATAAAATTGACATTCACATTTAAAGTTTAAAATTTTAATGTAGAAAAAGGTTATATAAGTTCAAATAAAATTTCTATTTAAATTTTATATCAAACAAAAAAATAAACAAAGAAAAGGGAGAGAAGGAATGAGTGACGTCAAAGAGAGGGAGAGAAAAAAAAAAGTACAAATAGAGAGAAGAGAGAGAAATGATGGTGATGGGTGAGATAGGAGTGAGGATGATGATGATGATGATGATGATGAATGGAGAGAGAAAGAGGCCTTCATGGGGACGGTTGAGGGAGGATGTGAGAGAGAAGGATGGGTGGGGCTCCTACAAAGGATCCCTCATATGTATGATTTTGTTTTTTTGCCAAATATAATGTTTGGATTTTAGTTGTACGTTAAGGGATAGGGGTGTTTACATTAGGGTTAGGATCGAATCCGTTCCCTAGCCCCATGGACTATTTGAGTTAGGAACTTTGCCAAACATTAAGCACAAGTACCCTACCGAATTCATATGTAAAAAGGGATTACGATCGAAGCATATACCAGAAAGGTTGGACCGAAAATATAAAATATACCAGAAAAAATGTCTGTGATTGAAGTTCTTAAAAACTAAATCAAGGATTTATGGTTGAAGTCCTGATCACAATAGAAAACAAAAGTCTATCGTTAGACTACTTAATTTCTGCGATCATTGACACCCTCCTCCTCCTCCTTCCCAGTCTCCAGCTCAGCTCAGTTGGCTATTTAATTTGTGAGTCTTTTTCTATGTTATTATTGTTGATTTTTCCTCTCAACTTAGCAGTTTAATTTATTATTTTTAATTTTTATAATATATCTCTATTATTGATCTTCCAGGTTGCGGAAGAAATGATTGCAGAAGGTGTGAGAAATTCAACACATCTTTCTAACCACTTCATTTCTCAAAAATTTATTTTATTGAGCACTACTAGAGAATAACTTAGACTTACAAAATTGACGTTTGTATACACTATAGTTTGATCCTACGTATGTTATTAGAGAGTGTATTGGACATGCATGTATAAATAAATATTGTTAATCAAGTGTAACCAAAGATAAAGGTACAACTCCCCTCGACTATAACCAGACTAACTTAATTACAAAACAATATTTTACAGCATATAAAATTAGCTATATTTAACACTTTACACCATATAACTTAATTGCAAAACTATTTATACTATAGAAAACTAGATTTTAATCCCTAAATAAGATGAAATTTAGAAAAACGTCTAATACAAGATTAAAAATTGATTTTAGTCCCTAAACTCTATTAAATGCTAGCATATATATTCAATGTCTCTCTTTTTTATTTATAATTTTATGGCGTTCATAAATTAAATTTTATGAAAATATTATAAATTTTAATTTTCATTATGGTGAGTATCTTATATAAGAAAATATTTTCGTGGAGATTTTTTGGTACACTTATGTTTTTGCATATTTTCTTATGTGCCACTAATTCATTACAATATATTTAGGTACGAACATTTCAGTACACCGGGTTAGTATAATATGTTTAGGTACAAACATTTAGGTACACTAGTTTAGGTACACTAGTTTAGTATAATATATTTAGGTATCGACATTTCAGTATACTAGTTTAGTATCATATAGTTAGGTACGGAATTTTTGGTACACTTGTATTTTTGCATATTTTCTTATGTGCTACTAATTTACTACAATATATTTAGGTACGAACATTTCGGTACACTAAATTAGTAAAATATATTATGATATAGACGTTTAGGTACACTAATTAAAGGAAGTTAAATAAAATTAATGAATTAAAATGTGTATAATAATAAATTTAAAATTTAATGTAATAACATTAAATAAGATATCTATTAAATATTAAAACAAAAATATAATATAAATTTGAATTAAGTGCACATTAACAGACTAAAATCAATATCCAATCTAACACCAAGTTTTTATTAAATTTGAATCTTCTTAAAAGATTAAAGTTCAAAAACCCCTTTATAATATCACCATTTCAACATCCTTTCGCAAAAACCATACTTTACTAGTCCCAATCCCCATTAGTTACGTACATGTTTCAACTTTCAAGTGCAATAAATATCAATTTATTTGTTATTGGGTTGCCCTATTTTTACTTACTTATAAGTTATAACAGAATATTATCCTTTTTTTTATAAAAAAATTTGGCTCGCAGAATTGAATAATAGTTTATAGAAAAATAAGTAAATTACAATAAACTCTTCAGACATCCTTGCTCTGCCCTTGAGTGTTAACTTTAGAGTGCAATTATTATACTGGAAATCAAAAGACCAAAACTTGTATAAGATCTCCAACTTTAAGACATTACTAATGCATCCATATTAGAGCTATGCAGGTGGGCATGGAGAAGAAGGATCAAAAGGAAGGTGGTGGAACAAACTGGTAGACGCTGAGGAGGTCAAAAAACAGGTTCTTTTTTCATTTCCAACGATTCTCACCAATGTGTTCTTTTCCTTGATCCCATTGGTCTCGGTCATGTTTGCTGGCCACCTTGGTGAGCTTCAGTTAGCAGGCGCAAACCTAGCCAATTCATGGGCCAAAGTTACTGGTTTTGCGGTCGTGATAATTTCTCAATCATTAAACTGTTCTATTGTTGGAGAGTATATAATAACATGTTGTAGTTTAATAAGGGATACAACCATACAACATGTTCTATTTTCTCAGATAGTATATAACATGATGTGTTGTAAAAATGGATATAAAATGTTATATTTTTTTACTGTCAGACAATCAAAAAGTATATGACATCATGTGTTTTTAGTAACGGACTTAAAATATTCTATTGTCACACTGTTGTGACAAGATAATTTCATAATATTAAATCTAATAAGATTGTAAGTACGAATTTTCCTGCAACTAATAAAACAAGAACACGCGTACAAAGTAATATTAAATTTTTATAAATGAATTTAGGATTAGAATCGCTTTACAACTTTGAATCATATGATTTGATCTTCGGATGAAAAAGGTGTGTGTTGTTGATCTGAGGGTCACAATGGCTTGATCTCAAATGAACGAACGCCTTAGGTTTTGGTCTGTGGCCATGCAGGAACTGGCAAGTGTTGGGTTGTTTGGTGTTTCTTCACAAGTGTGGAGAAGAATGCAGAGAGAGCTTTCTGAATTTTCTAAGCGTCTGAAAATTTGAGAGTTTGGAAATTTGAAGGTCTTGGTGTTTGGATGAATTCTTTTATTCCTTTCTTTGTCTTGGAGCCCTGTCTTTATATGTTCTCAAAGTCTTGCTTGCAGATTGGTATGACCTTGATTGTGGAGTTGATTCAAATCTAATAAAAATCAAATAAAATCAAGCTTTCCCGGTTTAGCATTTTTATTTGTTTTTAATTTAAATCACTTATTATTTTTTTTTATTTTTTTATGGAAACTTAATTTCTTATTTTAGGTTGGGCTGAGTGGAGCTCTGGAAACACTTTGCGGGCAAGGCTTTGGTGCAAAATTGTATAGAATGTTGGGAATTTATCTACAAGCTTCTTGCATCATATCGATCCTATTCTGTTTCTTGATATCTATAGTCTGGCTCTATACAGAGCCTATACTAATTTTACTTCACCAAGATCCTCAAATTTCAAACTCTGCAGCACTTTTTTTGAAATTTTTGATCCCCAGATTATTCGCTTATGCTTTCCTGCAAAACATGTTGAGATTTCTTCAGACACAATCTATATATGTAATGCCAATGGTCTTCTCAGTGATTGCCATTGTTATTCATATTGGCATCGCCTATGGTTTGGTGCATTGGACAACTCTTGGTTTTAAGGGAGCTCCACTAGCAGCTTCAGTTTCTCTATGGATATCTGTTCTCATGCTGGCTTTCACTGTTAAGTGCACAAAGAGCATTGAGAACACATGGGAAGGATTTTCATTCGAATCTTTTGATTATGTCCTCACCGGCTTGAAACTGGCCCTTCCCTCAGCAACAATGGAATGGTAAGTGTACAATCCTCTTAAAAATTTCGTTACTGTGTATGTCAAGTAATGTTCTCATTCCGATATATTGAGACATGCATTTAGAAAAAAATCCTATATGATTAATGTATCAGATTCATAGCCTAACAACACAACACCCAAACTGGGTGACACGCCAAAATTTTCTCTTTTCTGTTTATGTTTAAAGTTTAAAGGCCACATTTTAATTTACTCGTTTCATCATTTCTAGTTTGGAGGAATTGCCTTTTGAGATTCTGGTGATCATGGGAGGACTGATGCCAAACTCAGCAAAAAACACTTCACTGCTTGCAATGTGGTAAGCTTTATATATTTCTACTTAGATCTATGTCCTCTAATGTGTCTATTATTTCTGGCTTAATCAAGCTGCATGCCTTTGTTTAATATACCTCAGTGTGAATACGCAAGAAGTTGGTTACATGGTTACATATGGCCTCAGTGCCGCTGCCAGGTTAGGACGTTCTTCCACTTCTATTCCTTTATAATAAGTTTTTCAATATCCTCTTTTTATTTCATGGATTGAAACAAACCGTACACATCGTGGCAGCACAAGAGTCTCAAATGAATTAGGAGCAGGCAATCCGGACAGAGCAAAGAATGCAATGGTTGCCAATCTCAAGCTCTCTGTGCTTCTTTCTTTCGTGGTTATTCTGGCTCTTGTGTACGGCCACAACATTTGGGCTGGTTTCTTTATTGACAGCAATGCGAATTACGCAGTACTGAAAGAGGAATTTGCTTCAATGGAACCATTGCTTGCAATTTCAATAATAGTTGATTCTGTTCAGGGTGTCTTTTCAGGTTGAAATTCCCCACTGTTTCTAGTAGGAATAGTTCTATTTGATTCGAATTTTCATTTTTTTTTTTTTCCTGCATCCTTTCTTGGTGTCCATTATTTTGATTATCCCGGTTTTCAGGTGTGGTTAGAGGATGTGGGTGGCAACACTTAGCTGTGTATGTAAATTTGGCAACGTTTTATTTCGTTGGTATGACAATTGCTGGTCTTCTTGGATTTAAGTTCAAACTTTATGCCAAGGTGAGAATCTTGTAGTTCTTGATTGAAGCAGAACTTATGTTGATTATTTTGTTAAATAGTTGAATTAATTCGGTTTTTGGTGTTTTTATTTTGGTGCAGGGATTGTGGATTGGTATAATCTGTGGTCTCTCCTGCCAAGCAAGCACACTTTTGTTGATTACAGTGCTGAAGAAATGGAGTCAATCAGATTTAAGTAAAAAACCAGAGCAGGAAACACCAGTTTTGGTCTAAATTGATGTTAGAGAAAGTAATATTAAAAATTTAGCAACATAGACCACTTGGGAAAACCTAGTTGATGCTTATATCCAATTAATATCGTATTAACAAATGAATTTCCAGAAATAAGAAACCATACTTCTCAAAAAAATCTCAAATGGTCCAAATTTTCTGTCTACTTGTACCTGATTAATTAACTAGTCACTCCAAACAAAAGACTATTCGGCAGTTGTGTTTGAAACTGCAGATGAATTTCACATTGCACAGGAGCCCTCCTCTTGAATTTTCTATCAGGTGATAGGCGCTCGATGAGTCTAATTCTTGCATGGTACAGTTAGCAAAAGTATGCACGTTCGTCGAGAGATGCCACAAATAATCAAATCCACAACCCCTAAAACCAAAATACATTGAGTAACGAAATCAAAGAAAAAAAAATTAGAATCTTAATTATAAATGTCTCAATCTCACCTTGGCATGTAGCTTGTCTTCAGGCCAAGAAGGCCACGCCTGAATGAACCCTAAATTATTATCATGTATGCAAATAAAAATGTTCAAAAAAAAAAAAAAAAAGGAAAATGGGGAACAAAGTTTAGTGGAAAATGTCGACTTTTTTTTACCTAAAACAACCCCTCCACTCAAAGATCACTGAAAACACAACTAGAGGTGTCATAGATGCAATTTTTTTAGAATTTCTTCGTTGGCCAAGTATAAGAGCCAGACCAAGAACGAAAGCAACGAAACGAGAGAGCTTAAGAGCCACAACCATGGCACTTTTAGCTGTATATCTCCGGATTGCCTGCTCCAAGTTCATTTGAAACTCACGTGCTGCCACAATAATATACCATGAAGTCAATGTTAACATAATGCAGTAAGTAAGAGGACAGACTTTCAGGACAAATAGAGTATTGGCATTAAGTTTGATGACTACTGAAATTTTCTTGTTTTCTCTTAAAAAACATAAATTTAGCAGATTTAGTATTAACATGACTGAAAAAGTCAATTAATTTGAAGTATTAATAGAGTTATAATTGGTCCTTACATGTCATTTTACAAAGAGTGTAAAATTGACATTAAAATTTATTATAAATATGGGTGAAAAAAATAAGACAGTGGAGTGAGTTGATCAGCACTCATTATATATTATTCTAATTGAACTGTAACACCACTCCACATGGTTTAATGTTTTATTAAGTGGGTCGGCCCAATCACAATTCCTTTTATAAGTGGCATGAGCCGGCCCGTTTGACAGCTTTATTGTCAAATGTATAGCAGGTAAGGAAAGAAAAAATAAAAAGAGACTTTTTAATCAGGATTTTCCATAATCGTCATTATTGTAAATTCATAATAATAAACTTACGTATCATAAGGCATGTGTTCCATTTGGAAATGATTAATTAACTAGTTACTCCAAACAAAAGATTGTAAAAAGTAGAAAGAATACAAGAAATTCACCATGCAGTAGTTGTACTTGAAACTGCAGGTCATGAATTTCACATTGCATAGGAGCCCTCATGAATTTTCTATCACGTAATATCTGATCGAGGAGTCCAATTCTTGCATGGTACAATTAGCAAAAGTATGCGCATTTGGCAGGAGATTCCACAGATTAATACAATCCACGGGCCCTAAAACCATATTAGATCGATTGGGTAACTCAGTACAACGAATCAAATCAACTTATCTACAAATGCCTCAGTCTCCCTTTGGCATGAAGCTTGGTCTTGAAACCAAGAATGCCTGAAATAATCACCTCATTCATACATGTGGCTAGATTCACATACAAGACGAGCTTTTGCCACCTCCATCCTACGGCCACACTTTAAACAACCTTTAAAACAAATCTGAGTTGGCGTGTATTATTTTTTATCCTATTTATTAAATAAAGTTATTAAGATGCTTTTGTTTAAGAAAAATTATGCACATATGAGCCATTTTTCTTAAAAACTCCCTATAATCTAATGGTCAAGTAGTTGGATTTGAGAGATGTTTTGTAGAAATGATCTTTAAAAAAAATATCTAAAAAATAAACAGTTTGACTGTTAAAATACAATGTAGAGCGACCCTTACAAAGATCTTCATACGTATGATTTTGTTTTTTTTTTTTCTGCCAATTACAGTCTTTAGATTTTAGTTGTATGTAAAGGGATGGGGATGTTTACATTAGGGTTAGGTTCGAATCTGTTCCCCAGCCCCATCGACTTTTTGAGTTAGGAATTTTGCCAAACATTAAGGATAAGTACTGTACCAATTTCATATGTAAAGAGAGGGATCCAAAAGTCTACGACTGAAGAATATACCAAAAAGGTTGGACCGAAAAAAGAAAATATACCAGGAAAAAAGTCTATAATTGAAGTTCTTAAAATCAAGGATTATGATTGCATTCAACAGATCAGAAAAGAAAACAGAAGTCTATCGTTAGTCTACTTAATTTCTACGACAATATTCAGACTATATATATGCCTCATTTGCCATATAAATTTCTCAGACTTTGTCGTTGTGTCATTGACCTCCTCCTCCTCACAACTCAGCCGTTTAATTTACTAGTTTTAACTTTATAGTAGATATCTATCATTGATCTTCTAGGTTGCGGAAAAGATGATTGCTGAAGGTGAGACATTCAACCTTTCTTTCTTATTACTTCGTTTCTCGAGAATTCATTGTAGTGCAAACTACGAGAGAGTAATGTAGACTCAAAAATTGACGTATTTGCATACACATTTTCTACAACAATTTGATTTTACGTATGTTTATTAGAATGTATTAGTTTATGTGCATGTAAATAACATTATTGTCAACTAAGTGTAACCAAAAGTGGAGGTCCAACTCCCCTAGACTATAGCCAGCCTAACTTAACTACAAAACAAAATTTTACAGCATATAAACTTAGCTCTATTTAACAATTTACAACAATAACTCAATTGCAAAACTATTTATAATATCACAATTTCAACCTCTTTACTCAAAAACCATACTTTACTAGTTCCAATCCTATTAGTTACATGTTTCAACTTTCAAGTGCAAATATATCAATTTATTTGTTATTGCGTTGCCGTATTGTTATTTATTTATGTATTTGTTTGTAAAAAATTGACTCCCAAAAATTAATAATAGTTTATAGAAAAATAAATAAAGTACATTACACTCTCTTCAGAAATTCTGGTTATGTCCTTGAGTGTAACTTCAGAGTGCAATTATTATTCTGGAAATTAAAAGATCAAAACTTGTGTAAGATCTTCAACTTGAAGATATTACTAATGCGCCCGTATTATAGCTAGGCAGGTGGGAATGGAGAAGAAGGATCAAAGGGAAGGTGGTGGAACAAACTGGTAGACGTTGAGGAGGCTAAAAAACAGATTTTCTTTTCATTGCCAACAATCCTCACCAATGTGTTCTTTTCCTTGATCCCATTGGTCTCGGTCATGTTTGCTGGCCACCTTGGTGAGCTTCAGTTAGCCGGCGCAACCCTAGCCAATTCATGGGCCAATGTTACTGGTTTTGCGTTCGTGGTAATTTCTCGGTCATTAAGCTGTTCTATTATGGAGAGTATGTAACATGTTGTGATTTAATAACGGATAGTGTATATATAACGTGTGCTTTTAAAATGGATATAAAATGTTCTATTGTCAGACAGTCAGACAATCAAACAGTATATATCATCATGTGGTTTAGTAACGAACATAAAACGTTCTATTGTCACACTGTTGTGACAAGATAATTTCATGACATTAATCTAATAAGATTCTCGTCTTCTTCTTTTTCATTTTTTATCTTAGGTTGGGCTGAGTGGAGCTCTTGAAACACTTTGCGGGCAAGGCTTTGGTGCAAAATTGTATAGAATGTTGGGAATTTATCTACAAGCTTCTTGCATCATATCAACCCTCTTCTGTTTCTTGATATCTATAATCTGGCTCTATACAGAGCCTATACTAATTTTACTTCACCAAGATCCTCAAATTTCAAAATCTGCTGCACTTTTTTTGAAATTTTTGATCCCCGGATTATTCGCTTATGCTTTCCTGCAAAACATGTTGAGATTTCTTCAGACACAATCTATATATGTAATGCCAATGGTCTTCTCAGTGATTGTCATTGTTATTCATATTGGCATCACATATGGTTTTGTGCATTGGACAACTCTTGGTTTTAAGGGAGCTCCACTAGCAGCTTCAGTTTCTCTATGGATATCTGTTCTCATGCTGGCTTTCACTGTTACTTGTACAAAGAGCTTTGAGAGCACATGGGAAGGATTTTCATTCGAATCTTTCGATTATGTCCTCACAGGCTTGAAACTGGCCCTTCCCTCAGCAACAATGGAATGGTAAGTGTACAATCCTCTGGAAATTTTCACTACTGTTATGTCAAGTAATTTTCTCATGCCAATATACTGAGACACGCATTTAGAGAAAATCCTATATGATTAACATTGTATCAGATTCATAGCCTAACAACATGAAAGCCAATGACACGCAAAAGTTTATCTTTTATGTTTAAAGTTTAAAGCCCAAATTTGTATTTGCTTCTTTCATCGTTTCTAGTTTGGAGGAATGGGCTTTTGAGATTCTGGTGTTCATGGGAGGATTGATGCCAAACCCAGCAAAAAACACTTCACTGCTTGCAATGTGGTAAGCTTCATATATTTCTTCTTAGATTTCTCTCCTCAAATGTACCGGTTATTTCTGGCTTACTCAAGCTGCATGCCTTCGTTCAATATAATTCAGTGTGAATACGCAAGAAATTGGTTACATGGTTACATATGGCCTCAGTGCCGCTGCCAGGTTAGTACTTTCTTCTATTCCTTTATTATAAATTTTTCGATATCCTCTTTCTATTGCATGGATTGAAACAAAGCGTCCACATTGTGGCAGCACAAGAGTTTCAAATGAATTAGGAGCAGGCAATCCGGACAGAGCTAAGAATGCAATGGTTGTCAATCTTAAGCTCTCTGTGCTTCTTTCTTTTGCAATTATTCTGGCTCTTGTGTGTGGTCACAACATTTGGGCTGGCTTCTTCATTGACAGCAACGCGAATTACGCAGTACTGAAAGAGGACTTTGCATCAATGACGCCATTGCTTGCAATTTCAATAATAGTTGATTCTGTTCAAGGTGTCTTTTCAGGTTGAAATTCCCCACTTTTTTTAGTAGGGATAGTTCTATTTGATTTGAATCTTCACATTTTTCCTGCGTTTTTTCTTGGAGTCCGTTAATTTGGTTATCTGGTTTTCAGGTGTGGCTAGAGGATGTGGGTGGCAACACTTAGTTGTGTATGTAAACTTGGCAACGTTTTATTTCGTTGGTATGACAATTGCTGGTCTACTTGGATTTAAGTTCAAACTTTATGCCAAGGTGAGACAACATTGTAGTTCTTGATTTATCTATCAGCAAGCAGAATTTAACTTGACTTATTTTGTTAAATAGTTCAATTAATTCGGTTTTCGTGTTTTTATTTTGGTACAGGGCTTGTGGATTGGTATAATCTGTGGTCTCTCCTGCCAAGCAAGCACGCTTTTGATGATTACAGTGCTCAAGAAATGGACTCAATCAGATTTACTTAAAAATCCAGAGCAGGAAGCACCAGTTTTGGTCTCAATTGATGTTACCGAAAGAAATACAAACATAGACCACTTGGGAAAATCTAGTTGATGCTTATGTCCAATTAATATCGTAATAATACATGGATTTGCAGAAACAAGAAACCATATTTCTCAAATAAATCTCAAGTGTTCCAAATTTGCTTTCAAATTATACATGATTAATTAACTAGTTACTCCAAAAAAAGGACTGTCAAAAGTAGAAAGAATACAAACTGAGCTGTTGTTCAACTAGTTGCCAGCTTCTATATACAAGAACTTCACCATTCGGCTGTCATACTTCAAACTGCAGCTGATGATGAATCTTTCGATCGATGGGTCCAATTCTTGCATAATATAGTTAGCAAAAGTATGCTGCCACAAATAATCCTATCCACAACCCCTAAAACCAAGAAGGCCTGAAATAATCATCCCATTCAAATATGAGGTCAGATTCACATACAAGACCAACTGTTGTCAACCTGTTGGCCCTAAAAATTACTTAGCCTACGTTCATAGCCAACCTTAATGGTTTATAAAAGGTGTCACCGCACAGGGCTTCCGATTTGAAAAGGTCCCCAAATTTTCATTACATGTTTTAAATGCGCAAGATAATACTAATCACGGTTCCATCGTTAGTGATAATTTCATGACATTGAAGTCTTTTTGCACATAAAAGGAGAAGAGAAGCAAGCTAGCTTCGCCTACCTCCCATGCAGTGGCGAAGCCATGAATTTTCGGGGGGAGGGGCGAAATTTCAAAGCGTAAAAGGTCCAAAAAAATATTGACACCCACATCATTTTAGATAGTAAATAATATTAATGTTGTTCATAATTTGTCAATATAAACAAGTTACAATGTCGTTCATATTTTGTGGTACTTTCCCTAATAATTTGGCATCATTCCTTTGAAACTTAGAAAATCCTCATCCAAATATGAATATGAATGCAATTAGCCAATTTTCGATGTGTCCTAGCAGGTGATCCGTTTATGAGTGATGGTGGTCGTGTTACTTGTGGTGTGGTGTTGGTCATGCAAGTTGATGGGGGTAGTGTGTTGGTGTTTAACGAAAACTCTTTAATAGAGGTAGAGTCCGCCAATACATATGAGTTTCATCTCTATTAAAGAGATAATACAAATAGATGAAAAGAATATCATTTTTGTTAAGTGTGGTATTCTGATAAAAAGTTAACATGTATACTTTTTAGTGGCATGTATATCGACGATGTGAGTACTAATTAATATATTCATTTGATTAACATTCTCAAAATTATGGTTCTTAACTGAACTATATACTATCATTAAATTCATAGAGTAGATTAGAGATGTCTAACAAAAGACAAAATAACCAACTTGAAATTTTTTTTTTTTTTTGAACAAACGATATTATCATTAAGGGGTGGAGGAGTGAGATAAGTCTTACAATGAGTTAGCAATAGTATGATTCAAATTCTCCTTTGGCGTGAATTGAACCTAAGACCTATCATTTATAAGTGAAGAGAAATACTATTAGACCGTAGTACTAAGTAGCAACTTGACAAAATTAAAACAACTAAAAAAATGAAATCAAGGGATAATCACAGTACCAAAATGCCTTCATTATAAATAAAATATTAAATGAAATAAAAAGAAAAAAGAAAAAGAGCCCAAAACTTGGGCCGAACCAGTTTCATGCGGGTTGTAGATATAACTAAGTCAAAAGCCTATACCCGTAACGGCACCGTTCCATTAAAGCCAATAAACATAACGGCACAGCTTCTCTTAATGCCAATACACGTAACGGCACCGTTCCTCTCAAAGCCAATAAACTGAAATATGCTACAGTTCTTCTTCCTCGCGAGAGACGTGTGAAAATTTCACTGTTTTAGTGCAGGTTCAGAGGAATGACGTCCAGTCCTGAGGGGTGGCTTATCACTCTTAGAGTAGAGTTCCGATGACCAGAGGTGGGACCACACCTACTTGCGTCTCTGTGGCTTGCCACTGCGTGCGCAGCGTTTGTGCAGCTGCAGCAAAAAACAGGGCTTCATTTCCGGCAAGAGGAGGGGCGGGTACTCGCTCCTGGGCTTCATTTCCGGCGAGGGGAGTGGCGGCCGCCACTCCTCGCCTTCACGTGGTTTCGCCACTGCTCCCATGTATATCTAGTAATGGTAAGAACTGGTTGTTTGCAACTGTATCGGCGGCCGGGATAGCGCTCCGCGTTCTCTCGTACGAAATCGAAACGAGATAAATGAGTTATAGACAATGAACTTTGGCCTGTAACTTGTTAATGTTTCCGTTGAAGGTAAGGCTGTTCTTAAATCCATACATCCATTCGTTGAAAAGTGAGGGACTAGAATAAATACCGAGGCATGATACAGATAATAGAAAAATAAAAAAGTAGACAATTTCAGTCTTCGTAAAACATTGCAAGATGAGATGAAGAGTTGAAAAAGTATAAGGAGAAGGTCAATAGCATCCCCTCCCCTAGAATTTAATATCTAAGATGAAAGGCTATAGTATACTTAGGTATTAGTTTAGGGACTATGACGGGCTAAGTAATTCATATTATTAAGAATTTCTTTATAAGGACATAAAATAAGTTCCTTCCATAATATCATTTCTCAAATTAATTAGTAACATTGAGCTCATAGGTTTTACTGTATAACACTCACCCTTATCAAACTTACACCAACGTCGTATGACATCGAACTCATTTTAAACCACTGTGGAAGGACTAACCCCTTAAAACTTGTTTGTGTTCCACTTTGCCCCTCACCGTCTAAGTCTGTTAACAAATCTGTTAAACTACAAATGTGGCACAAGTGGACCGACTTTTGCTTAACTGTCGCCACACGGACACTATGTGCCCCAAAAAATTAATAAAAACCCATATATTTTGTCAAAACCAATTAACTTAGAGCTAAATCATTAAGTTAAGAAATTAGATTTAAGTAGCGACTTAATACTGTAGTCTAGTGATATTCTTTTTTTCTTGTAAATAACAAATCTTAAATTCAAATCTCAAGAATGACAAGTTTGTAACCAATTTATTTTCCACACTTTACTATAAATATATCATTGGATAAAAAAAATAGATTACAAAGGGAAAAAAAAAAAAAAAAAAAGGAAGAAAACAAATGGATGGTTTTTATTTTTCTTGAACTAATAGCTGGTATGGATGGGTGGCACGGGACTTTGCAGGTATTTTCAAGGGGGCAGGTGGCCTGGGGAATTTCTCTTGCGAGTCTAGTCTAATGGCGGAGGCGGTAGTGGTACGGGCGGCTTTGTTAGCTTGTGTGGAGAGGTTTTGATGTGGTTCAGGTGGAAATGGATTATAAATGTTTAGTGGATATGATCAATGAGATTACTTAACCTAACGTTGTTATTGAAAGCTTTCTCTTTGATATTCAGTGTGTGCAAGAGCAATTGAGGTCAGTAAAGTTTATTTTTTTCTCCCTATGTATGTAACAAGGCAGCGCATATGGTGGCTTCTTTTGTCTCACGATTGGGTGGTTTATATACATGGGATTGTTTTGAGTTAGTGTTGTTTAATACTTTGGATTATGATGTAAACGTATCTATTCAAATTTATGATATTTCTCTTTTGACAAAAATAGCTGAGTGACAAAATAAAATAAAATTTAAGGGGCCTCACTTAGTACTATGGTCTAATAGTATTCCTTTCCACTTGTAAGTGAGAGGTCTTAGGTTTGATTCTCGCCAAAAACGAATTTGAACCACATTATATGGCTGTCATTGTGAGTAGATCTGGTAATTTCTGACACAACTCGTTAACTTGACACGACATGACATAAAATTAACAAGTTATCGGGTAACCCGATAAGCACCTATTAAATTAATGGGTTGGTCCGGGTATACACATGGGTAACCCGATACATGATAAGTAAAATATTAATTTAATAATTTTATACCCTAAAAATACTATAATTATATATATATATATATATATTTTTATATATACACACACACAATTATATTTTATATATAATATTATATACTATAACAATTATGTGTGTATGTGTATATATATATTAAATTAAATTTAGAAAATTGGAAAAAAATGATATAATATATTTTTGAATGGTACATTCATTTTTCTACTGAAGACGACATGAGACGCGTTTGGGGTGGAGGCACTTGTACGTTAGCACAAGGAATTTTTCGTCTAATCTCAATGGCAACCAGATTTTAAACCTAGTAATGTGCTCCCACAATCGCATGCCCAGGTTTGGGTTAAAATATATGCCTGAAGCCAAGAGTACTGGCACCCACGTCATTTAATGGAAATTGCTCGTGGCATTGGCACCCCTCTGCAGCTTGACAAGGCCACTCGTGAACGTCTGTATGTGAAAGGCAAAATCTCCACAAACTCATTACAAAACATTGACAGTTTTAAAGATATTTTTACAACACATAACACATCCACAATGCGAGCTTATGGCTCGTTTGGCATGTGCTTTTAAATGACTGAAAATGACACACCCCGACCTCAATCGAGGCATGCTGGTCGTCACGTGAGGGTGACGTAACCATGTGCGCTATGCGGAAGTGGTAATGATATGAAAATGCGAATAACTAGGCCCGGGCCCCCACCACATCTCGGGCTAGGATGTGATGGAAAGTGTTTTTAGAAAAAATATTTTTGGGTTCCAAAAGTACTTGTTATGTGCTTCTCGCTGGAGCCACTTCAAGTGCTTTTCTATAATTAACTTGCATTTTTACTAAGACTTTGATTCCAAAAACATTTTATGTAAAAGCGCTTTCAATCGTCTAAAACCACTTACCAAATGGGCTATTAGTCGGTTGTTTCCACTCAAAATTTCAGATGCTGGGAATTGCTGTTGGTATTAAGATGTTTCCTAACAAGTTCGAAGAACAAAGGATCACATGTTTGTATATTAATAATCCGAAACAAAATTTTGTGTTTTTGAAACCAAAGAAATCCAAACAAGATTGGGCAAAATATGAGGGATACAAAGATGAGAGAAGCTAAGGTATATTCGCTTGTCTTTCTCTCCTGATCTCGTGCTTTTATGTATACTAATCATGCTGACTTTCTTGTCTTACAAGTAACATAAAGCCTATAAGTATTGGAGGAGGATTCTCTATCCTCCTAATCTCTTTACCCTTCCATGCCCTCCTATTTGAACGGTC